CCAGTAATAGGTAGGCCAACTTTTGGACCGTCCAGTTGTCTGTATGACTGCCACAGTACGTACGTCACATTTGCGCACTATCAGAAAGTGCCAAACAGCCCTGGTGGAGTGAGGAGCTGTAAAGAGAAGTGCTCTGTTTCTAAAAATGTTAAACTTTTTACAGTGTGTACCACCTGATAAAAATGTTGAGCTCTCCCAAGTACCACTAAGCATGAAACTCATAAATCTTACAACACAAAATTAGTATTATTAAATTAGATTTTTATTTGTAATAATTTATTCTGTTTTGGGAGTGTTTTTTTTTTATGTATCTGTATTATATTATACATACACATTAAAAGTGAATCTCTGTCCAAAAAATGCACTCAGTTTACTTTTTACTATGAGCATCATTCATTATTCTCCCCCAGTAATTAAGGTTAGGATATGTATATGTTTTTATTCCAATCCATTCTTCTTTTGCAGCATTTAAATAACCTTGATCAGATTTGATGGTTTTGTTACAGACTTTTCAAAAAAGTGTTTTGCTTTTCTTTCACAAATATGGGGATTAAATTGTGTTAAAATGTACAAAACAGTGATGTGATGTTTTGAGACGAGGACCCAGGCACAGAGAGACTTGATGAATTTAAGAATCTTATGATTTATCTTGCCTGGCTGGGCAGCTCTCTGGGTGCTCAGCACCCCCAAAGCTCTGATCCTAGAATCGCCCCTGGCAGTAACGCAGCGTGCTTATGGGAAAGTAACAGTAATCTAATTACCTTTTTTGCAATAGTAATCCCTTACTTTACTCGTTACTCGAAAAAGTAATCGGATTACAGTAACTCGTTACTGCCCATCTCTGCTGACGGCACAACTGTTTGTGTCTGTTCTGCAGAGAGCAGGCGGCCCGTGAAGGACTGCTTCCTGGCTGTCTTGTCGTCTCACGGGGAGGAGGACTGCGTGTTTGGAGCCGACGGGAAACCCGTCCGGCTGTCTCGGATCTTCGCATATTTTGACAATGAGTGCATGGAGAATAAGGCCAAAGTGTTCCTCATACAGGTAGGTGGCAGAAGGGCGAGGACAACATGAGTTTAGGTCGTGTCGAGGGAATCAAATGATCTGTTTCCTTCTGTGATGCTGAGGTCATCCTCTTGATGCTGTCTCTGCAGGCGTGTCGTGGAGACGCTCTGGATGATGGAGTGGAGGTGGACTCGGCCGGTGACGCCACCGACTGCAGCTTCTCCCTCCACCTCTCGGTTCCTGTAGATACAGCTGTGATGTATGCCACGCCCCCAGGTAAACACCAAGCCTTCAACAGACCACCACCACTACCCTCTAAACCTCCTCAGCGGCCACTCAGACCTCCTAAACTACCCTTCAAACCTCCCGACAGGCAGCATAACCATTTTATCCATCCCTAGAACCTCCACAGTTACCATGAAACATAGAACATAAACCATCTTTATGACAACTACAACACTTGTAATATGATCACATCTCTTCATGGACTTTTAAGACCTACCAAAGGACTTCTAAACCTCCTTAGTAACCAGAGAAATCTTCTATACTACCCATTAACCTCCTCTATGACTACTGAAATCATTTTAACTGTTCATGGAATC